CACACCCACACCCACACCCCCACCCACACCCACACCCACACCCACACCCACACCCACACCCACACCCACACCCACACCCACACCCACACCCACACCCACACCCACACCCACACCCACACCCATACCGTTACATACTTCAGTCACTACAGAGAGAAAAGAACTAAAAATATTCGTTAAACAATATCACATAACTGAAAGTTGATAAAAATGCGAGTCTAAAACTATGGAAGTAACAAAAATAAAATGGATAATTAATTATATAAGAACTAAATTTTGTTAAATAAAGAGGCTATAGTGAACTAATAATTGATCGGGTACACCAGTATCCAAGGAGCGAAAAATATTTTGAGTTATTTATAAGAAATGACAGCATGAAAACCTATTTAGTCTTGTGAACATTTTTTAGCGTGTATGTTTAATAGTGATAACGACGAAAAGCACGTAAATTTCGAAATAATTACCCATTTTAATGCTTTGGAATATTGTAACGCGTTTTAACTTGTTTAAAACTCACTGAATAACGGCGTTTTAATGATAATATTTTGTTTAAACACCGTTATTACAGAACCTTAAGGCGTTTAAATACGTTAATTTTTAACGTTTGTCTGGCTGAGCAGCTACACTTCTTTATTTGTCAATTTTTTTAAAATTTTAGAGAACTATTTGTTAATGAGAAGGGTGAATGTTCAAATAAAAGCTTTCAATTGAGTTAAGCCACAAAAAAACCTGCATATCATATCATGGAGTTTCGTTTCATTGAGACAGAATTTAAGCTAATAATAACTGTTAGTGCAATCATTAGAATACATAAGTATCGTCAAAAAACAAGAGATACAAATCAAGTAGTTTTTATAACTTATATGCTGCATATCTTCATTATAAAGTTCCAGTAGACAATAAATAAGACACTGACTATGTATGAGAGGAAAAGCAGCATAAAACCATAACTTATTTTTTATGCCATTGCTTTTTACTATCTATCTAATTATACAGACTTCCAATTTGTATGAGTACAGAATTGTTCTTCTTGATTTCAGAACTGACCAACAATGTAATATACTTTTTTTGAAGCTGGCTGTTATATTAAACACGAACGGGTTAAATTGAGTGCGTTTGAAGCATAACTTTAATTTATATTAATGACTATACTACAATCACAGAGTATCTGTAGTTAACTCACAGCTTTAAATTCATAAAGAGTCGAACAGTGCACTTTGTTCTGACAAAACTTTCAACCTTCGGTGTGTAAATATGCGACGGAGAGAAAAAATACTCATCCTCAGTTATGTAGACAGAAATATTTCATCTGAAATTATTTTATAATACCGTATGTGACAACAGTTGACACATAGTAACACAAGAATAATCAACTAATACTATGAAATATTTCGTATTAGGTCTTTAATAGATTCATATCATTTTATTATTTGACAAAAAAGAGGGTAGTGTTATTCATTTAATAAACTAAAGATTACATGATTGATGACCCAGTCATGACTGGTACCCAGTTCACCAGTCATGACTGGAACTGGTGAATACCTACACCATTGGTTGCCGGTTTATCTTGTACTATTAAAATCTCCTCTTCGAGAACATCTCCAACCATTCGATTGAAGACGGTGAGAGAACGACTTTTGTATTTAAACGGAGCCACTAGTACATTTTTTATCCATCGAGCTGCAATTAAAATGCCATTTCTTTCATCGGTGTATAAGTCATTGGCACCATTTCCACGACAAAAATAGATAATCTTTTACCTCCCGTACAATTCCGTNACAAGGTTTGGATCCATCACAAACGGTATTAGAAATGCAAGGGAGGATATAAAGGTGGAGCTATCACTATGATACAACTCGATAGACACCTCTGGACGTCGTTGTAGACTGACATGAATCGTATCGGCGTACAAGGAAGGACCGGATATGGCTACAATCTCGATAAAACCTTTGAGCTGTTTCGGTTTTGCATTTGTAGCTGATGCATTAAAGTATAATGAAAGAAAGAATCTAGAAATCGATAGAACAGTACTTTATCTTATAAGAACTAACAGTTTTGTCGTGTTTCACATTTTAATCCCGAAGGGATTGCGCTAACAGCTTTTACTATTAGCTCAGCATGTCTCTATTGAAAATATTAAATCAGACTAGAACGAACATGTATTTTGTTTTTAACTGCGCAGATCTGAACGATGCCGGATATCATTGTGAACCATCTTGTCTTACCGACGTTAAAGATCATATGGTTCAAAATAGCCAACGGAATCCAGTAACGACTGCTTTGAATACAAAACTATTTCATCGTGTAACTCTATCGATTGCTACTAACGCCTCGGATAATGGCTTACAATCGGAATCATCGATTGGTTATCAAGAACGATCGAAAATATTAGTACCATATCGTTGGGCAAACTCATTATCATTATCACAGGCACTGGGTTCAGCTACTGTACCGATTCATGATGTGCATGATGTTTATTCAGCTTCTTATTCGAAATGTGAGCAAGTACTCCGATGTAAATTAGCATCTCTGTACCGCATTATCGATCTATTCGGATGGTCACAAGGTATTTACAACCATGTGACGGTATGTTGTTTGAGTATTTCAGAGATTTATTCAACTGTTTGATACGAGAGAGATTTATCTTGGACAACTCATTTTATACTAATTTAGATAAATGTCACTTTCATGGTTACATTTTTTAGCTGCTCCGAATTTTTGACTTTGAAGGATTTGTAGCAGACCACAAGACGAATAAAGTTGGGCGTCACGTGAGACTAAAACGTCGTGATTATGGTTTCGTCAATCGTTAAGATTTCCCTCTCATTTCTGTCTTAGAAAGACACCTTTTCAACCCTAAAACAACTCGCCCTTTGTACTTGTTGCTCAGCGGAGTGACCGTTTGCAGATTTATTCATCATAATAAACATTTCATGAAATTTTAAAGCTTCATAAACAGTTTTCTAGCAAACTTGATAAGCTACCTATTGCTAAAAAGAATATTGTATTTTATCACTCAATGTCTATCAGATTCAGAAATCCATTAATCTATTATCTCGAAGAGTCAAACATATACACACAAACATATAAAGAAATAGAAAAAGAATCGTATTCTGTGCTTGTAATGGTCATCTATGAAGATCTATGACTCTTAGCCACTTCAGCATGAATATATCTATTGTGATATCATTTTCTACTGAGAAAGATTATGAAAAATCCAATTTCTTTGGCGTTTTCTTCTCAACTAACTATTAGCGCAGTTATTTTCTATAGATTAGGTCAACAAAGCCGAAACAAGTAGCAAAATTATCTACAAGAATTGCACTTTTTTCATGCTTTCCTTGCCATCTCAATTGTTCATTATTCTTACTAGATTTATTCGATTTTGAGAAACAGAAACAGAGACAGAGAAGTGCACAAATGTATGAGATAATCAATAACAAACTTTTTAGCACGCTACGTATGGAATTCAAATTTGAAGCACAACGAAGCTATTTTCACTGTGACCAATGAACTTGAATACGTTTAACCAGATAATATACACGTATTTGACTCCGAAAGCATTTCATCGACTCATTGTCGAACTAAATTTTACAATCAATTACTGGTTCAGAATAGTGATATCATGAATCAAAATATAGGTCATTGCTCAACGAAACATTTACAGACAATTGGTAATCGATACATATCTCCTATGGGATCTATATCAATTAAGGTTCGTAGGTGATGTTCATCTACCACGTAGCTCCAACAGAGAGAGCTTGAAAAGATCAAACAAGTCTCACAAGAAAAAATTACATCTCAAAACATTACATCGAGATTTACTTTTCCCTAGACTGAAAGGCTAGGGTCTAGAAACCGTAATTCACCTGTGTCTGTTTGTCCGTCTGTCTGTCTGTCTGTAACAAACGCTTGGTAAAAATGACCATTTCCATGGCAAAAATGACCATTTCTATGGCACAAACGACCATTTCCGTGGCACAAATGACCATTGTTATGGCATAAATGACCATTTTTATGGCACAAATGACCATTTCTATGGCACAAACGACCATTTCTATGGCACAAACGACCATTTCTGCGGCAAAAATGACCATTTTTATGGTACAAATGACCATTTCCATGATACAAATGACCATTTCCATGGCACAATTGACCATTTATATGGGACAAATGTCCATTTCCACGGCACATATGATCATTTCCACGGCTCAAATGGTCATTTGTAAGGCAAAAAAAGCTTTTTTTCACGCAAATTACGAGTCTACTGACCAAGAACTGTTTTACTGTAAACAATGAGATCGTTTTCGCGTGCATGTATGGAAGACACGGAAGTGATGTAAAAAGCCTTTGTTTTTCATTGAGTTTGAGTTCTCAATGTCAAGTTTATGGAGAACAGTAAAAAATATGAGGATGTGTGCATCACGGCGTTTGAAAGGTTCTTCAGCAGTGGAGAAAGGTGATTTTACCACACATGAAGCCCAGGCTGGGAAAAGAGACATCGTAGTGTTTAAATTATGAGCAGTAGAGCATAGTAAGTGGTTATGTAGTACCATCAAGACAAAGAAACATTTCGAAATATATCTTTCCAAGATGCTATCCTAATGGTTTTCAGGTACAAATAGTATAATGTCAGATAGGATGCAATAAGTAGAACGAACAATGAAAGAGTATTTAAGACGGTGACATGAGTAATTTATTTCGAATATTAGAAAATATGAGCCGTGCTCGGAGATGAAAAACTTGTAAATGGTGGCAATAATGAAAGTTCAAATGTCTGACTGGATGATCGGCAACATATGAACAGACATATTTGGCTTTAATACACAGCTGAGTGTCTAGTAGCAGTCAGTAAGACACGCTTTTTGTTTTTAATTCGGCGGATTCTTTTCAGGTAATGTGGGGCCAAATGCCTTAAAGCACGTTTGTCGTACACCTTCAACTCTGTCTGTGTCTTATCCCTGATGTTCGTGATGGTAAATAAAAGAACATGTATGAATCNNNNGAACGGTATTCAACAAGTATTTCGGCAAGAAATTATTTTTTTACATTTTTGATAAACGATTGTCATATAGGATTTTGAAGTATTTTTCACGGCCTATCTACTGATATATAATTCATTTGGTTTGAATTAAGTAACAAGTACATATATGTAAAACTTGACAACCAAAAGATGCGTCTATGTATTCACAGAAAATTGAAGAAGTAATCGGATCCTGAACTTGTAAATACCTAGCAAAATCATTTGAAAACCATAAGGTATACTTTCTACCACTATTTCCTTTGTTTCTACCCGAGCAGATCATTAAAATTCAATTGGGCCGATTTCTGTAGAAATCGCCCCCCGTCCTTTCTGTGGAACAGCTAATGGATTACATGATGAAGAGAAAAGGGAGTGAGGTACAAATAGTGAACAAATAGATGAAATACAAGTTGAAACCGGAACAGAATGGCTTGAGTGAGAAGGGATATGTATAGAATTCGAAACAATAACTGGTACGAACTGTGGTTGGATATCATGATCAAATTTTATTTTATATAGTTTGTTGTTATGTTCAATAGAGACAAATCGTCTTCGAATGTCAAATTTAAGATTATATTGAATTATATAATCAATACCCAGAATTAGATCCGTACATAAGTTTTCAGCTACATGGGCTTTTATGGTAGTTATTTGATTAGCTATTTCTATATGTAGTTCAACAACACCATGTACATGAAAAGGAGCTATTCCATCAGCTAGTACAAAGGAATAAGGAAGTGTATTTATATAAATGAAATCGTGTGGATATTGTTTTATTACTTCTTTATTAATAAACGTAGTGGTGGCCCCAGTATCAAGAAGGATTTGTTCCCTAGACTGAAAGGATAGGATCTAGCAACCGCAATTCACCTGTGTCTGTTTGTCTGTCTGTCTGTAACAAGCGCTTGGTACAAATGACCATTTCCGTGGCAAAAATAACCATTGTCATGGCACAAATGACCATTTTTATGGTATAAATGACCATTTCCGTGGTAGAAATGACCATTTTTATGGTGCAAATGACCACTTCTATGACACAAATGACTATTTCATGGCACGAACCTCCATTTCTGTGGCACAAATGACCATTTTTATGGTATAAATGACCATTTGTATGGTACCAATGACCATTTTCATGGGATAAATGACCATTTGTATGGCACAAAGTACCATTTTTATGGCACAGATGACCATTTATACGGGAGAAATGTCCATTTCCATGGTACAAATTATCATTTCCACGGCTCAAATGGTCATTTGTAAGGGAAAAAAAGCTTTTTTCACGCAAATTACGAGTCTACTGACCAAGAACTGTTTTACCGTAAGCAATGAGATCGTTTTCGCGTGCATATATGGAAGACACGGAAGTGATGTAAAAAGCCTTTGTGCTTCATTGAGTTTGAGTTCTCAATGTGAAGTTTATGGAGAACAGTAAAAAATATGAGGATGTATGCATCACGGCGTTTGAAAGGTTTTTCAGCAGTGGAGAAAGGTGATTTTGCAACACATGAAGCCCAGCCTGGGAAAAGAGACATCGTAGTGTTTAAATTGTGAGTAGTAGAGCATAGTAAGAGATTATGTAGTACCATCAAGACCAAGAAACATTTCGAAAGATATCTTTCGAAGATACTATCCTAATGGTTTTTAGGTACAAATAGTATAATGTCAGATAGGATGCAATAAGTAGAATGAACAATGAAAGAGTATTTAAGACAGTGATATGAGTAATTTATTTCGAGTATTAGAAAATATGAGCCGTGCTCGGACATCAAAAACTTGTAAATGGTGGCAATAATGAAAGTTCAAATGTCAGACTGGATGAGCGGCAACATATGAACAGACATATTTGGCTTTAATAAACAGCTGAATATCTAGTAGCAGTTAGTAAGACACGCTGTTTGTTTTTGATTCGGCGGATTCTTTCCAGGTAATGTGGAGCCAAATGCTTTAAAGCACGCTTGTCGTAAACCTTCTACTCTGTCTGTGTCTTATCCCTGATGCTCGTGATGGTAAATAAAAGAATATTTATGAATCTGATGTCAATCGAATATACGAAATATTTCTAGTTGCCCGTTTTAAAAGTGAATACACGCAACTATAAGCAACTATGTCGTTAAAACAAGTGGTGTAAGAGAATGTTTTCAGTGACTAAAAGATTGTATTATCTGTTAGTTTTATTCCCATCGCTTTTTTTCGCTGAACCCTTTTACTTTATCTCATCTTGTTAATGTCACTCGAATCAAGTGGAACATTCTTCTCCATAGTGAGAATTTGAATGAAAATGTTTGGTACGGCAATGTACTAGCAGTTGCCTCATTTGCTCAGTCTAGGGCCCAGTGAATCGAATTTTAACGTCGATGAACCTTACTTGTATTTTATGATTGTTAACTAATGTGGTGATAAAAATTAAAGATAAGTTCGATGAATTTAAATTAAGTTTTCCAAGGGCAGCACCACCTTTCGACATCGACGGCTTTAAAAATGGGGACAGGCAGATGCCTGATGCCCCGTCTGTTGACATCGTGAGCAAATTTCAAATGACGGAGGAGGTGGAAGAGGATCAAGCAAAGATGGAATGTTTCCAGTAGGATTATTATTTGCTCGA